TGCGTTTGTGCTTCAAAAGGATCCTCGGGTGCTCTCCTGGCCTCTGACAGGCTCAGCTCTTGCTTTGAATTGTTAGAATCATGGAACCATAAAATCATTTACATTAGAAAAGCCCTCAAAGACCAAGTCCAACCATTTCCCCAGAACTGCCAAAGCCACCACTAAACCCAAGGGATGTCCCCAAGTGATGCATCTACACAGCTTTAAATCCCTTCAGAGGTGGTGACTCCACCATTTCCCTGGGTACCCTGTGCCAGGACTGGATAACCATTTTGGTGAAGATATTTTTCCTTTTATCCAACTTAAACCTCCCCTGGCACAGCTTGTGGCTGTTCTTGACAGGTCACTTGTTACCTGTGAGAAGAGGTTGATCCCCACCTAACTACAACCTCCCCTCAGTTATAGAGTTATAGATGGTGAGAAAGTCCTTCCTGAGTCACTTTTTCCTCCAGGCTGAGCCTCCCCAGCTCCCCCAGGTGCTCCTCACCAGACTTGTGCTCCAGACCCTGCCCCAGCTCTGCTGCCTTTCTCTGGACATGCAAAGACCACTTGCTACTGATCCTTAGCAGGACTGAAAAAAGAGATGCAATAGAACCAATTTCTTCTTTAGATACCAATATTCAGCTCTCTGATATCACCATGATTCATCCTGCTTGCTTGAAACCTGAGAGAAGCCAACCAAGCAAAAAAAAAGAAGTAGAAATAGCAATTTCCCCTCCCTCATTTTCATGGTGGAATTTGCTGGATGTGGGGTTGATGGGATTGACAGGGTATTGCTCATTGTTTGGGGAATGTCTTGAACATGAGATCTTCAGGCCATATAAGCCAGCATAACTCCACCAACAGAAACTCTGCTATAGAATATTCTGGTTCTTTTCAGTGCATACTTTTAACAAGCTCACCAGCCAAATCTTGTGTCTTTCCCTAATTCATTCAAGATGCACTATAAATCACCCTTGATTCTGACCCATGAAGGAAAACTAACTTGACAAATCCCTTTCTGTATTAATTTTTGTCAAAACATTGTTTATGACAACGGGTAGGTTGCTGATAGCTCTTGCTTTTGTTGCCCAGGACCCTGTGGGTTTGGTAAGCCCTCAGCTGGACTCCATGTGGATTGTTCCTTATCTCTTTTTTTCTCATGTTAAGACTTGTGTCTTAGAGTGAAGAACCTGATTTATTAAAAATACCATATAATATAATAAGACAGGTGTCAGCAATGTTAAATACCTCCATAAATTTTGCTTCTCTAGAGCAGATCAAATGTGCAATTATTTGAGGCATGATGAAGGCATCCTGCACTGAGGCAGCATTTTAGTAACCTGATAACATGAGCAGTTCTTGCCATGTGCTTACAGAAATGAGGCTGTGGGATTGCACTGTGTCACTCTTCTCCCCCAGTAAATATTTCTGCTTTATAGACATTTTCAGCTTAACTTGACAGAGGACTTACACCTGATGACAGGTGACAGTGCTGGGCACCTGTGTCTGACTGATTTTTTCTGTGACATGTGGAGATTTGAGGGTCTCATATTAGCTGTGCTGTGCATGTGGCTATTCACCTCCACAAGGGTTTCAAGTAGAGCCTGTGGCCCTGCCTGGAGCTTTCCTTTAGAGAGGTGGAGGATGCAGGCACAAAAAAGAGTCCCAAGGGATTTTTCTGCATGTATTTGTGCTTTCCTTCCCCTACTAAAGAATTTTCTTCTTCTATTCCCAGGGTGTAGTCCACTGTATCTCTTTTTGCTTGTCTCCACCATGTCACTGCCAGGTTCTTGAATCTCCTGAGGCTATTTCCAGCCCACACAATGCTGGGCTGGCAGCACAGAGCCTGGGGAAAAACCCAGCCTGGAGCACAGCCTGGGGCTGCAGCTTTCCATTCCCAGGTTGTGGCTCAGTGTGGAAAATGTGTGCTGCTCATTTGTCTTGCTCTCTCTGCCTGTAAATTAGTAGTGCCAATTAGCATCCAAAAATAGGTGGAGTGTAAAGGACTTGCAAAGGTTGGAAACTATTATATCTATAAATATTCAATATCATTCAATCAGAATTAACATGAATCGTCCTTGTACAAGTAAGCATTTGTTTTCCAAGACATAGGCTCACAGTATTCTAATATTAATATAATTAGATTATTTGGATTATGTTAATAATATTTAGATTGATTATTAGGAAAAATTTTTTCACCGAAAGGATTGGAATGGGATGCCCAGGGCAGTGCAGTCACCATCCCTTGAGGGATTTAAAATACAGGCAGATATAGTCCCTGGGGACATGGTGTGGTGGGGAGTGGGCAGTGCTGGGTTAAGGGATGGACTCAGTGGCCTTAGAGGGCTTTGCTAATCTAAATGATTCTATGAATGTATGATTAAACATATATATGTATATGTATATGTATATGTACATGTACACACACACACACACACACATATATATATATATATATATATATATATATATATATATATATATACATATATATATATATATATATATGCAGGTATTGCAGTTCTGTTCCAAAGCAAATGACTGGGTTTCTTTCCCAGTGAAAAACAAGGTATGTGGGGACAAGGAAGCAAAGGTCAACTGTTTCTATCAGGGCTGGAAAGCACTCCTCAGTCCTGTACTATGAGTTTATGGGGAAAAAAATCACACTGTTTGATTCCTTAAAAAAAAAAAAAATCCCATTGTGGATTTCTAAAGTTTTGAAATTTGCATAATCAGTGTAATAGCCTCAACAAACCCTTTGATCCTTTGGCATGCAGGAGCCACACTCACTGTGGGTTTGGCCCCGTGAAATGCAGTAGCTGCAGCTCCTCTGTGCAGGTCTGTAAGGAGGCACCAGCCAAGCAAAAACCTACTGAGGGTCAGCAGAGAGATGAGAGCCCCAGGGCTCAGGGGGTGCTGACAGCCATGATTTATCCCACTCTATTGTAGGGCAAGTGAAGCTGGCCCCACACCTCTGTTTTCATGTCTCTAACACAACCCCATCCAGCTTTTGCGTTTTGTCCCGCTGCCAAGCGCTGTGCGAGCCCCTGCCGTGCCTCCCTGCCATTAATCACCAGAGCCTTTCCCTGGGCTGCCCTGAGCTTCCTTAGAGACCAAACCCTCCTTATCATTCACATATAATCCTGTTACAGCTTTATACCTGCTTGCATGGCCCACTTATCAGCCAATAAATCTGAGCAGGACCAAACAGTGGATAATGGATTCACGGTTCCTGGTATGGATTCCCAGGCACTTTCTAAACAATTTATTTTTGCACTGGTGCTTAAAGCAAACACCTCACCCCAGTTCTGCCTGCCATGAGCCTGGGGAAGGTTTATTCTCTTGCTGTTCTCACCTGGAGGTGTTTCCTGTGCAAGCACCCCCATTCACACGTTGTCCCGTGGGTAACAAAGTGCCCTCTCCCTGAGCCTGGGCATGGCCATAGCACTCAGAGCAACTGAATTCCAAAGTTGCATTTCTGAGCCTTCCCACTTTTCTGTGCCTTGATATATTCATGTTGGCTTTCAGGAAAAATGTAGGATTTTATGAGAAAGTTGAGTTTTTTCTGTGGTTAAAAAAATCCAGCTTAGGGGGTGTTTCTGTGACCTCGGTCAACATGCTTATGCTGAGGCATCAAAAAAATCCCTCCAAAACAATCAAAGCAGGAAAAATCAAGTCTGACAGTTTTCTATAAGATGTAGGTGAGCCGGGAGCTAAGATTTAAGTGGCAGATGAAGGAGTTCATTGCAGTAGTTTTGAAATATGGACCTATAAATCTCCAATTTTCTACATTCAGAGCCCAGCATGTTCCTGTATATTTATTTTGTTGAATGTTAAGTGGTTCAGTTTTCCTGTGGTTGCCTTGATTTTTTTTTCTCAGTAGAGTTTAATTCAACGTAAGCCCTATTACTTAGTCATTTTGTTCATATTTCTTCATTTAGATCCTTGTGCAGGGAAAGGTTAGGAGCAATCAGAAAATATAGGAAGCAAAATAAATGTTCTCTAATCTCTCTTCAAGCCCAGACTGAAATGTTATTAGTACTTCTGGGCTTGTCTGGATTAGTTTCTTAAGAAGCTGAAGCTGAACAGATCTAACTAGATTATTAATTTAGTAAAACAGGGCCTCTCCAGGGACTAAGCCAAACTAGTATCGTGTTGCTTTGCTTCTCTCCATGTACTCATGACTTCTGTGGTGGATTTCTCCTTCTTTAAAACAGGGAATGATGTGAGCAAAGGGGCTGTGAACACCCATTGTGGCAGAAGGGGGTGAAGGGCATCTTCAGCCTCTCCTCCTCCTCCTCACCCTGCTCCTTGCTCTGTGCCTGGGTTAAGAAATGTGGGCTGCAAACAGCTCATGTCTTATTGCCTCTGCAGCAATGTCATCTTGAATCTTAGCCTATGCTGATGGATATTATTACCCTTTTCAACCAGAGTAATTCTTTCATTCCTGTGAAATCTGCTGTCTCATACTTTATCCAGTGAGGAGATACTGAGAGAGAAAAACAGGATGTTATTCGGGTGTTTGAACATGGCACACAGAGCTGCTCCTCTGGACAGGGGAGACATCTGTGAGCAAGCCCAAAAGTTTCATGGTTGGGCACCTGGGCTGGAGATGCTGCTCCCTTCCCAAATCACCTGGGAGGAGGAGGAGGGCTGAGCCAGGAGCAGCACAGGAGGGGTACAGTACAGAACTGCCTTTTGTGATAAAGGGCCACAGGACACATAAAATCAAATTTGCTTTAAATGAAAAGATTTATTTCAGCTTTGTACCTGGTGCATACACAACTTTGAGAAGTCATAGGCACAGGGGTATAAGTGGGCTGGAAATGGAGGTATACTGGCCTGTGAAAATGGGGTTATTGGTTACCAGTGATGTTAGTCCTGATTAAAGCTCCAGAAAGTGCCCAGTGAGGGATGTCTGGATGCTGGTACTCTGTTGAACCATGTTCAACCTGCACTCCTCTCCCTCCCCAGGTCAGCACTGTGCCCTGCTGTGCCTGATGCCCAGGGAGGGGTACAAGGATGGATTGTGCCATGAGGCCAGCCCCTGAGCACCACTTAAACCCCTGAGGTTTAAATACAGGTTGTAGGCTCACCCATTACTGGAAGGAGGGCAGAGAAGACAGAGCATCACCCAGACAAAGCAGGTGATAAGCAATGTCCCATGATGCCAGAGTTTCCTGAACATGAGCCCTGTTTAAATTTTAAAAAAGTCCTTATAGTAGAGGCATTGAGAGTTAGTAGTCAAATATTTAATACACAAGGACTAAATGGGTTTGGCTGCTGGTAGAGTCCATAGGTAAGAGCAAATTGGCTCAATGGGCTCCCTGTTTCTGTGGGAGACAGGTGGGCAGGTCCCTCTCTGCAATCCTTGGTGCTGCAGCAGCATGGCCAATGTCACCCAGAGTGCAGAGTGGCTCCAATGTCCTCGGCCTGAGGAAAGCCAAGTGTGAGATGGGCTGGATCCTTCCCCCTCTGCTCTGAGTGAGGTCGATTGCAGCATCTGGTTGTAAGTGTGAGAGTAATTCCTTGTGGGCTTCAGTACTGGTGGTAGGAAAAAGATTGTGTTTTGTGAGGTTTCCATAAGTGACACCTGCACTTCAGCAGCTGAAGTGCCCTGAGGCAGCTTGTGTCTCATTACTTGAGGGCTTTTTTAACCCTTTCCACAAGGCTGGCTCCTGGGGCTGATGCATGATGGCAAGGTTTAGGACTGAGGTGGGAATGAACAAGATAAGACTGAACTTATGCTTTGTTTTTCTCCTTCCCTCCCAGATAATGCCTTTAGGATGGATCCGTTTTTGGAGGTGAGTCCCCTCATTCCCTGTTTAAGGGCTGTGCAGAGATAGCTCAACTACCACCATGCTCTTCTGTGAAAAGCCTTAGGTTCCTCACAGAGCCAAAATTCCCACTGAGCAACTATTCAGCATGTATAAACAGGTTAAAATCTCAGGGGTTTGGGTCACTTAGAGAAAAAAAAGCCAGTGACAAAATACTTTCACAGTTGCAATGGGTCTGCCAAAGAAAATAGATTGAATCTACTAAGGAAGAAATCAGAAGTTTCTTGCTGAGATCCAAACAGCAAAGCCTATAAACATGAAGCAATTTGTCCCTTGTATGAGCCATATTCAGAATCAGCAGCAATAAGTCTAAGCAAGTTTAAGCAAACATTGAATTTTTTTCTCTTCTTTTTCTGTTTCCATAATTTTTGATAGGAAAATGGAGTTTACACATAACCCTGACACTGTGAGTTTTCTTGCAGCTGCTTTCTATTTGTGAAAGTGCGTGTGTCATATTTATCTTGTACTCTTTAAATAACCACAATTTTATTAGTTACTCCTTATAACCTCTCTAAACATAGCACTATTTTGGGAGGAACATGACAATTTTGCATAAGAAAGCATGAAGTGTTATATAAAATGTGAAAGGAAGGGAAGGCAATGATGATAAGTGGAGCTGAGCAGAATGTTTCTGGATAGTTCTGAAGGAGAATGTCCCTTTGCAAAATCAATATTTGCAGTGGGCAAATTTCAGTGCTGCGAAGTATTTTTAATTTCCTTTTGGAAAAATTAAATGGATTTCCTAGCCTTACCAGAAAGGCACTTCTCAATTCTCTTTTTGGCAGGAAGCAATGTAGATAAAAGGCTTCTAAGCAAGCATGTAAAAATACTAAAAACCCCTTACCCTAAGTGCTCCTAAAATTGAATTGGATTATTACATATTTTTTATTCATGTTTTACTCCATGTAAAACAGGATGTAGGATGAATATATTTTAAACATTACACATTTTTGTGGGAAAGGACTTCCATGTTCTTGTGTTAAGATAAACAAATAAAGATGCTCTCTAATTTCCTACTTTTAATAATACTACCTCTGTGTGGTAACAGGCTTGGATTACACACTGATCTGTCTAAGCATTTAATCATCTGTACAGCTTTCAACATCCAAATGAACTCAGAAATCTTTCTGTGCTTAGAGCATCACAAAGTGCTTACATGGCTAATTTTGGCCCCTGTCAAATGCTTTTCTGGATTAGACAAAAATTACCAACTTGATGGTAACAATGGTTAGGCTTTTGCTTCCCCCTAATATTTCTGAGCATGCTCATGGGGACATTCATACTATTTATGCAACAGAAAGATTACTGTCCAATTTGAGACTTTTTGGATTTGTTTTTTCCTTTGATTTCTGAACAGGCTTCCAGAAAAATACATTGACAATGCCGAAGGTATTGCTGTGATTCATGACTTTTTATTCATATTTTCTAGTAAAAAAGTGCTTAATCCACTTAAGCCCCTTCAAAATTAATTGGCACGTTTAGCAGTTTCCAGTAATAAATATTATTCCATCTGTTCCATTGTTTCCTGCTGAAAAGTTGTTTTGATTTTAATTTGTTTCTGATGGTTCCCCCCAGCCTCTGTTTGGGGAAATGGTTCCCTTTGAATTAATTTTGTTTGGAGAGTGAGCCTTTCCCTGCACTGGGGCTGCAGCTGCACCCGCAGGGATGGCAGGAAGTGCATCCACAGAAAAACGTTCCTTGGTGGGGTAACGTGATGGGATGTGATCAGATGATGATGATGAGGGGTCTGGAGCACGAGCCCTGTGGGAAGGGGCTGAGGGAAATGGGGTTGTTTAGTCCTGAGAAGAGGATGGCTCGAGGGAGACCCGGCTGCGCGCAGAACTGCCGGAAAGAGGTTTGGGGGATTGGTCTCTTCTCCCAGGCAACCAGCAACTGGACAAGGGGAAATGGCCTCAGGCTGCACCAGGGCAGGCTCAGGCTGGATATTAGGAAAGATTTCTTCACTGAAGGAGTGGTTAAATGCTGGAAGAGGCTGCCCAGGGTAGTCTCTGGAAGTGTTAAAAAAATGAGTAACTGTGACACTTAGCAGTATGGTTTAGTGGTCATGGGGGTTATTCAGCCAAATGTTTTATATATCTTGGAGGTCTTTTCCAACCATAATGATTCTATGATTCTTTGAGTTTCTGTAGGCAACAGTACAGGTGAGGGCTGTCATCAGAAACTGGTGATTTTGGAGCAAAGCAGTCGTATTTGCACATGGTAATTTTCTGAACTTGTAGGTGGCTCTGCTCACCTTCTGTGCATTCCTAATTTCTGGGTTGGGGTATGGCAAACATCTGCTACCCTGCTTGTGAAATATTCACAGCTTTTCATTAAATCACCACCACAAGGCATTGCTGAGTGTTTTCCTTGGTAAAATACTGCATGGATGACAGCAGGATGTGCTGTCCCTCACTGGTGGTTGTGGGGTTTCTGATGGTGTGGAGGCATGGTCATAAATCCAGTAATTGGTGGGCACATTTCTAGTGTTGAGGATCACCACAAATCTCTTCCCAGAGAAAAACAAATCACTGGTTGGACACAGCTTTTACTTCTGACAGCTGGGGTTTGAGTACCCGTAACTATTCTTGAGCTGTATTTTCCTCATTGTGTGAGAAGTGTGGAGAGCAATAACAAAGTGACTTTGTAATCTTCCTCCAGGTGAAAGTTCTGCTGCAAACTTGAGTTACATACTGATCAACTGTGGTTCTGATTGATTTTATTTTACTACTTTGGATCCCAGGGCTTTTCTCAACTCCCTTCTGGAGAACTTAGAGCTGGAGTAAAACATGCACTTTGTATGGAAGGTTTCCTCCTTCTGTGTTAACATTTAATTGTATTTCCCATGAACACACCTTACTATGGAGTTCATTTTCATCTCAGGATTTCTTGTGAAATTGTGGATTGCTGAGAATGTGCTTGGGATACTGCAGGCTGGGAAGCTGCCCTCACTTTGCAGAGCATGGGGTGTTCAAGTACCAAGGCAGGCAAACATTTCCTCCCTGAACCAGGAGGAATCAGATCTTCTTCCACCCACATTGAGCTCCCAGTCTGAGCACTGCATCTCTCACTGATGATTTATTTTAAGTCAATTCCTGCTGGTGGTGACAGGTGACTATGGGTGATCTGTGTGCTTAATATAAGCAGAATCCATAGGGAATGTTTTTTCTTGAGTTATAGATTGATGAGTGACTCCTGTGTCATATGGTGCACAACTGGTATATAGATTTCAGCTAAACCACACACATGCATTGTCAGCAATCCATTTCTACGAATTTGCTTATATTATCTTTTCCCTTTATGAGTGCCATACACTTTAAGTTATCAACCTTCAAAAAAATGGAAGCATCTATTGAGGCTATTTTTTTTCTGGGATTCTTAGAAAAAATTAAAATATAGATATGGGAAAGTGAATTGTGAATTACAGACTCCCACTCACCTGGATGACTGCTCAGCCAAAGCTGTGAGGCTGTCAGGGCTGTGCAGATGATGCCCTTGTGCATCTCCATCCCAGGACCAGCTGCACTGTCCCTGCTGGCTGCTCCTCATCCTCCCGTGTTCCAGGGTGAGCCTTGGACATTGTGTGACTGAGGTGCAGTGTTGGTCTTTCCCAGTGAACATCTGGTCCTGCTTGCTATTCCTAACCTCCATCCAAACTCTGCAAATGTCCTTAAGTATTTTGGAGACCTCGTGGCTGTGCAGGAGGAGCAGCACCTTGATGAATAACACCACGAGCAGTGCAGCAGCGGAAATGGCCAGTGGATGAGGGGAGTTTCAGTGGGGAACAGAAGCAATCCAGATGAAGACTTGGAGGAGTGGGATGCCTGCAGATGGGCCAGCCCCTGCTGAACACTGGGATAGCCCATTGCCCATGGAGAGCTGGGAGAGGTTTCTAGGACAACTGATGGGCTTTGGGAACGGGGAAAGAATGGAGCCAAATCTTAAAGTCAGATGAGGAGAAAATGAGTAACATCTGCTGAGACGTGTGAAAGAGCCATTTGTGCTCACTGCAACCTGAAGCCTTTCTGCAGCAGCCACAGCAGCGTGGGCCAGCTTGCTGTCCCCCACACTGCCTGCCTGGCCCAGGGCTCGTTAGGGATGATTGATGTGCTCATTACAGCCCCAGCTCTGGACACTGCCCTGTGCCTCACTGATGTGTCCCCCAAAGCAGGGGCATCACCTCCCTTCTGTGTGTTCATAGAGAAAAGCCTGTCCTGCAGAGGGATGAGGTGCTGGGGATGCTGCTGCTGTACAGGTATTGGTTATATTAATGGCTCATAAATAACAGGTTACTGCCAATCTTTCACTCCTGACACCCTGAAGCTGCACATCCTCTGCATCTCCCTGCTCCCTCTCCATGCTGATGTAAGGGTAAATTTCCCCTTGACTCTGATGGGGCAAATAACCCTCCCTGATTCTCTAGCTGGTCCCTCTGCTATTTTAACAGATCAGCTTTTTGCCTCTGATTAGGCTATTTTCTGCAGTGCAGAACATGGCTGGGAGTGCTGGAGCTGGAGGTAGGGAGCAGTCCAGAAGGATTGCACCTGTGCTTGCTAATCAGCGGCCGCTTCAGCAAGCTGAAATTAGGAGAGCACACAAAAGAGAGAGCAATTTTGAAAATGAGGATGAACATCCCGAAATTTTTAAGAACAATTATGTTTTCACAGCTGTGCTGGTTGCCCCAAATGCATAGAAATCAAGTCAAAAACCAAGCTCCTTTAACTCAAAGAAAATTAACCTTCATCGTTAAACTCAATGAGAAGTAAACTTACTTTCCCTTCAAGTGAATAATATAGTCTTGAAAAAACCTAGCAGCAAGTTATGTTGTAATTATGTTCTTTGAATTAAAGTTTGTCAGTCCAAGCAAAATAAATAGAAACACGGGCAGGGCAATAGATATATTATACTTGGAGTAAAATTTGGCCCTGGTATGTTGTTTTTATACTAAAGCTATGCCAAAGTTAATCTGCTGTAATTGTGTCTATTACCAGATTCTAGTATAAATAAAAGAGACAACCTGAGAGCTGTTGATATAATTCTTTCACTAACATCTTGGTGCCACCATGGAAGGACTTGGCCAGACCTCATTTGTCAGGAATCAGGCCAAGAGTTACTGAATTACCCAGCAATTACCCAACCGCCCAGTACATTTTGCTTTGGAGGCATACACTGAACGTTTCCCTGTGTCTCCCACTCCACCACTGCTACTGAAGGGAGGGGAGCACCACAGCCCTGCCCTTTTTATCTGTGAGGAGCATTTGAGGTGGTCAGTGGGTGCTGATGGGCCACAGGCAGGTGGGATGGGGATACAGCTCTGGGTTTGCTCTGAGGGGATTGCAGGGGCTGGGGTAGTCCCCAGGAGCTGGGCTGGGCAGTGGCATCCAGAGGATGCAGTCCCTCTGCACCAAGGTTTGGCTTAGGCTGGAAGCAGAGTTTAATTTGAGCTCTTCCCTTACTCCTTGGCTAGCAATATTGAGGATTAGGATGTATTTCTGATACAAAAACCACCCTACACAGTAATGCGTGCAGAGAGAGGGAGCTGTTTCTTACACAGGTGGGAATTAATCCTGTGGGTTTAACCTTCAGGTATGCTTTTAAGGGAATCCCTTTCCTTCCAGTTCTGCCCTGCCTCTGACAGAAGGGAGGCGGTCTCTGGCTTGCTCCCATCCTGTTCAGTGCCTCCTTGGGGCCTTTCTCTGGGATTCCCTCTGAAGACAGGCTTTTTGGTTGTCTTTAAGAAGCATCAGCTTCTTTTTTTCTCTTTTTCTACCTTTCTGTGGGTTCCTGCTGTCCCTTTCCTTCCTACATGCTGCTTTTGGATGCTCAAAGGTTTTCTCTCAGCAAGTCTGCCAAATCCCACACTGGCAGCAGGATAAAGAAAGGCAACTGTCTGGTGATGCCTCAGATTTGAGGTATCATTCTGAGGGTCTCAAGAGCTTTTCAAAGCACGACCTAACTCTGTGCCAGTCAGTACACAGCACTGTTTTGGGGGTGTCTCAAAATAAAGCTTGCTTTAAATTCATGCAGTTTAAAAAGATGCTGAGGAATGGGGCGAATGGAGCTCTCTGCAATCTACATGTGTCACTAATGTAACAGAAGTAGAGAAAGAAATAGTTTTACCCACATTCCTAAAGTTATTAAGCAGCAGAAGTGAAAAAAATCCTCTCCTATGTTTGATACAGTTTTCCCTAAGTGACTATTACTTCTTTCTTTGCATCCAAAAAAGGAAATGATCAAGATTATGAAATCCGAAGGAAATAGAGAAAGTAAGTAGGTAGGACAGGGTACTGAGGAAAGGTTAAATCCTTTAGCAAACCTTGTCTCCTTACATATAATGTGAAATATTCCAGATCTGATCATCTGCAGCTTACTTTGTGTTCTTTAAAGTTCATTGTTTTCTCCATTGGAAAAAAGTTTAATTTTTTTAGCCAGTCCCTATGTGAGATCAGATGTTCATCAGTGCTCTCCCCTCTCTTTCCAAGGACTGAGTTCATTGAGCTGTTTCCTGGGAACTGTGTTCAGGGGAGACCCATTCATTAAAGGGCACCTTGTGGAAGGAAGAGTTAAAAAATATTCCCCTCTCCATTAATTTTGCATGTATTAAAGTCTAATTTCTTGATGGAGCTCATTCTCCAGGGCACTGTCCAGGTCCCCCTGGCTGTGACAGTAGGCACGGCCCTGTCCCCCAAGGACAGGCTGCTTCATCCCCTTGCTTCAGCACGCACCCATGCCCTTTGCTTGGGGAGGCAGAGCTGGGATCTGCCAAAGCATCTTGCTGCACAAAAGATTAAAAATGTTGATGGTTCAAGGAACAATTCTCCATCTGTGGCTTGATCATTAATCCTCAGTCTCCCTCAGTTAGTTGATGGATGGCAGGCTGATTGTATCTGCTGCCCAGTCTCTTCTCCTTGAGGGTCCTGGAAAAAGATCCCAACACAAATTTACAAAGTTCACCAACAGACTGAGAAAAAGGGAGAGAAACCAGCAGAAGCCAGGAAGGATTTGTTCTTGACTCTGTGTCACTGGGGTGGTGCCCATTCCCTGCCATCCCATTGTGATCTCCAGCTCTGCTACCAATCTGCAATCATCAGGAGCTGCCTCCTCAGGCTTTTTCCTCCTGCCCTGCAGCAAAGGAAGGGAGGCAGCTTCAGTCCAAAAGCCTTGGCCTGAGGGAGAACTCGTGGCACAAACCAGAGGGAACAGGATCCTGAGGAGCTGTGTTTGCCCCAGGAGTTGGCTCCAGCAGCCAGGCTGTGCAATGCACATGGAAAATATGCAAGTTGGGAAGCATCTGCTGTCTCGGGCTCCTTTTATGCTCTGGACCATTATTTTCTGCATAAGCACCTCATGAAAATATCAGAAAGAGTAGAGTGCTGCCAATGAAGATCTTTTGGTCTGCTCTGGAGGACTGTGAACTGTGATGTGAATGTTGAGTAAACCAAAGAATGGGACTGGGTGAAGCTGGAGCTCTGCAGCCATGTTTTCATTCACTGTATGTACTGGGAGCCTTTAGTGCATTCACTTGGCCATCCCTGGGAATGGACCATGGCAGATTGTTTGTGCTGCTAGCACTGATGTGCAGTCCTTGGGTTCACTTCAGGAGAATCAAACTGACTAAATCCAGGATCTGTCACTTCAAGAACAGATTTTCAGCTGACAAATGTTACATATGCACTTTAAAATTCCTTAATTTTGAGTGCTTTTCTGTACAGTAAACAAAGTTTTTTGTGCCTGTTTTCCTATATAAATATTTATTACAAAGTTGGTGGCTACTGGTTGAATGTGAATATTTGTTGTTCCCAGCATTTTTAGACATGATCTACCAAAGATATACATGTGGTTTTAATACACAGTAACTTTCTACTGCTGGAAGACCTTGGATTAAGATCAGCTCCAGGAATTGCTCCTACAAGAAGAGAATTGGATGGGCCTTTGTGTCAGAATGTTGTTAATCAGAGGCTGTTTTGATAAAGATGCTCATGAATAGGGTTATAGAATGGTTTGGGTAGGAAAAGACCTTAAAGATCATCTAGTTCCACACACCTGACAGGCTGCACATAGGGACATGATTGTAATGATTTCAGACTGACTTGTGACTGTTCCCTTAGTGGGTGTAGCAGGGATTTATATTAATACACCAAATTTTCTGTAGATTTTGAAAAGGTTTGTGTCTCCTAGTGCCCCTCTGTTCCCTGCCTGCCAAAGCTTTGCACATCAGTATTTTTCCTTTATGCAAACTGGATGAGGAGAAGTTCCATGTGAAATGAATCAGCAGTAGCCAGCAATGTGTGTGGGCTACATGGCAAAATGCTGGATGCCAGATGAGGTGAAATGGAGACTTCCTGTTCTCCTCCAGCAACAGGGAGAAGGGAAGATGCCATCATCCTTCAGGAGAATGAGCAACCTCTCTCCATAAAACCACTCTACTTGAAATGCAAACAATTATAATTTAACAAACCATGTTCTGCCAGGAAACAAAATAAAGAATTTTCCTGGATTTGCTAGTGAGAAAATGAGTAGAATATATTTTAATCTTTACCAGATTTCCCAGATTCTGGAGGAAGAGAGTGGAGTCTGCTGTGCAGAGGCTGGTGAGGGGCCTGGGGAGATGATGGCATGTTGGCATCTCTGTATGGATTGTGGTGCCACCAGTCCAGCCTGGCCCATCCCTCTGCCACTGTATGCAGGGGAGGAGATAAGGTGGAGAGCACCTTAAGCCAGGCTTGAGTACTGGCAGCAAACATAACATTCAACTCTTTTTTCCCCTCCATTTAGTGGGAAAGTTACAGTCCCAACTTTCTCACAGCATTAACCCTCCCCGGGCATTTCGTGGGATGACAAAGTTTGGCAACATTGGAGAATTTGTGTTCTAAGACTGTGTGGCCTCACTTGAAGCATTTGAAGTCCTGGGAGCCTGGCAAAGCTGTCTGGTTATGCCCTTAGCATTTGACTTCTGGGAAAGCCTGGAGAGGGGCAGAAGCTTGCAATACATGGAAGTGCAGTATTTGCATCACCATCCAAAAAGATGGAGAAAATGGACCATAACTCAAGGTAAAACATGGCCTTAATCCCTTTGCTGTCACAGACAAAAATCCTTGTGATGTTCAAAGAAAACCAATTAATCTCTAGTGCATTTGTTCCTCCTTTCTCACACCTACACTCAGTTGCTTCTTACAGCTGCAGCTTTAGGACACTCTGTAAGACAGACATAATCCTGCCACCAGCAGAATGCAACAGGTAATAAATTACACTGTGTATAGAAGCAGATACTGGAGTTTCCATAACTTGTTTTTGCTTGTTCTGATTGTCCACAGCCTCTCCACTACATTGGAATGCATGGAAAATACCTGTTGTGTCTTAAAAGGAGCGTCTGGAGACAAGAAATGAGCAGTGTGGAGATGGGAATGAATACATCAGGTGTAAACAGGTCTCTTTTGCTTTCTTTGTTTTGCTATGTGTTAATGGACCAAAAAAGTACCCTTGACAACAGATGGGAAATGAGTCCCGGCATTACCAGGGGCTCCAGTGAAGATCATGGCCCATTGCACAGGAAGGATGCATTCACTTCCAGAAGATCTTACAGTCTAATTTAAGCCAGAAAACAGAAGGAAGGTAGATGAGGAGGAGGAGTGTGGGGGGAGAAGAGATAATGCCTCCAGGAAAGTCATTAAGGAACACACGCCTTCCTGACTTTATGTCTTTTAAAAGTATATTTTCTCTCTCCTGTTGGGCTTTGAACCTTTCTGAGTTTATTTAGGCTATTGCAAACTTGCTGACTTAGGGAGCAAATAAGCCTTAGGGATCAAAGCAGCTGGTATTGTCGGAGGTATTGAGGGTGAAATAACACATTAGCAGAAGGAGAGCTGAGAATAAAAAGAGAAAGAAAATCCAGCTTGATTATTTTGTTCTCTTTTGCTTTTAGCTTCCATCCTGGCTTGATCCTTTTCATTTGAACTGCTATTAATTTTCTTTGTGCTTATTCCAACAGCATAAATATTTAACGGTCCTAGATTACAGAGTTGAAACATGACATTAGTTCCAACCTTAAAGATTAGTGCAGGGTCTTTTCCTCACAGTTAGATGACTTCCACATTCCAACATCTCCCATCTCTGCAGGAGGAGCATCTCAAGCTCTATTTTGAGCCAATTTTCTTTTTTTGGTGTTGTTTGAGGCTCAGAAGCCATAAGCACCTCGCCCACTCCCAGTCACTCCCTTGCTATTTTATGGTGACATGCTGTGACAGAGCAAAGGCTCTGGGTTATCAGGGGGACTGGGGCATGCAGGTTCATGAGCCTGGATGCTCTTTGCTACCTGCAGCAAGCAGGCTCTGGGCCTGGGAGCTGTGCAGAGCATTAGGCATGGAAAAATCCATGGAAATGTGCTAAATGTGGGTTATGTGTGCAAAATGAGAGGATCAGTGAAGTTACTTGCACTAGTTTTTCTTATGCAAGTTGACAGATATTTCCCTTCTCCGTTGCTTTCACTCTTAGAGAGAAATACAGAGTAAGGAGCCTTGGCCACTGATTTTCAAGGTGCTAAAGTGAAAATTAATGGAGGTGGGAGTACTTGGATCTCTGAAAATCAGGCCGTGCCTTTAAAAGCCCACATATCAATTTAAGTGCCTAATTTCAAGCCCACAAAGCAGGGGAAAAAAATTAAGGAACTTAATTATTATGATGTCAAATGGTGCAACAGCTGATAAAATTGGAGATTGAAGCCAAAGCCTGTGAGATATCAGATACAGTCTCTCCTCTGGGGACAATGCAGGTTCACCAAGGCAATCAGCAATGCTGAGGGCCATCTCCAAGGTCTGCACAAGGCTCTCCTAGCTCTCAGTGGATCAGAGGAATAATGAAAATGTCAAAACTCAGACACCCAGACAGGCTTGTCCACTGCTCATGGACAGAGCAGCACAGCTCAGCCACATCTCACAACAGCACAGCTCCCTCTGACATGAAGCTGACAGCACTTAATTGGGTTAATTAATTAAATACAGCAAAATGTACAGAACAACAAAAAGCGCTTCAGACAAAATGCAAAGTGTGAGATGATCTAAAGGAGAGACTTGCATTAACTTCTAAGCTCAACCCACAGAAATAGCAGGTTTTGCAGCATTTTAGTACTCTTGTAATTAGATGGTTTTGCTGAGCACAACAGTGATGTCAGAGCCCATCAGGATCCCCTACTTGTCTTTTAAATCCATTTCTGCCCTGGGAATGAGAGCTGTAAAAGTAGCTTAAAATATTCATTACCAAAACTCATAATTCTAGCCCCGAATTGTTCATGGTGATTTTCTCCGTTGGTTTCACTGGGGTTTGGGAAGTTGCCAGCTGTATTATGTGATAAGCCACAGCCAGTCACCATTGACAGAGCAGTCACAAATGAAAGTGTAAAGGGCTGTCCATTTCCCTTATCCTTCAGCCAAAAAAAGGCCTTCAAAACTTATGTGCTCTGCTCTAAAATCCTTTCAGCCAAATAACATTTAAATCTGTGTCTCATAAGTGTGATTTCACAGCATTAATATGACACTGCCATTAGCATGTGGAAGTGTATGTGACATTCCAGTGCTGGTATTTATAGCAAAAATGGGACAGATTCACAGCTTGTGTAAACCACTGAGTGCCTTTTTATGGGTCTCCTCTGATTTATGCAACCTGAGATCTTGAGGCAAGCTCAGTAGCCTGTTCTTCAGCCACTTTTAAAAATTATGATATCAAAGCAATTTCTCTAGAGAGTCAGAGTGAAGATATAGCAACTTTTCCTTTTAGCTGAAAGATCTGAAACATTGCTGAAAAAATAGTTTCCAGGCATTTTAAATTATTAGGCTTTTTCTTTCCCTTTGCAAAGGGAAGGAAAAAGAAGTACTCTTCTTTTACTTAAACCCTTAAACTATTTCTTCTAGGAAATAATGAAAAAAAAATAGATTGGCAATTTTGGAAATACTCAAACTTCCTTTTAGAAATACTGCCAAGTGAATATGTTGCCAATAAGTTATTTAAACATATTAATATAACTTTGAGAACTGTTTTAGAAAAGTGTGAGAAAAAAACCTCTCCACTGCTAATGAGAAGCTATATTCTGGCTGTTTCAGATTACTCTGGGTTTAATTCTGTATATGTTTGTTATTTGGATTTACTTGGTGTTTTAATTAATTCCTCTCACCTCAAACAGGCCTAAAGTGCAGTTTTTCAGCAAATTAATTTCATTGTGTTTCATTGTGACAGGGCATTAATTACTTTCGTAATTAGAAAAAGAAGCATGTGGGGAATAAATATGCCTTCACCTCTTTTGGGTGCTTAAAACTGCCTTATTTTAGGAGGTATTGGCAGGGCCCAGGGCTGTGAGGGACTGAGGAGCTCCCTGCATCCCTGCCTGCATCCCTGCCTGCATCCCTCCCTGCATCCCTGGAATCCCCACAGCCAGGAGTGATGCTGCTGCACCACACACAGCTCCAGCCAGGCTGCAGCCTCAGCATCTGGGAATTGCAGTTGGTTCCTTAAAAATCCGGGCATTCATGGCAGCATTAAGAAGCATTTTGAGGGCAAGATAGCCCAGTGGATTGATTTAGTCACATCAGTGTGTTCTGCAAATGTGTGTTTGCCTTGGTCTACAAATAAAGGCAGTAGGAACCAGTGATCTATGAATTTTTCATTTGTCCTGGTAGCAAAACAAATCATAAATATTAGAAATTGACAAGTCTTGCCTTAACTGTCATAACATGGGCTTAATAACTATGAATGTAAATGAGGAAGTTGGTTGTCTTCTGGGCCATCAGGTTAAGGAAGATTTCCACTGTACAACCAAATGGGTTTGGTAACACAGGATTAATGCAATCTCATTACTCCAGATTGAGAAATTAAAACCAACTGTAATTGATTGCAATTTGACCAGGATCCAATTGAAGCAATGAAGCTTCCTGTGAGTAAAGAGCATCTTCTGGGACTGCTTAAAGTGCTTATGGTTGGACTCCTTTCCATCTTGCCTACAGGGACAAATGCAAGAAGAAACCCAATGCCAGTTTTAATTTCTGTAGTTTAGGATAAAATCATTACATGGCTTTGGTGGCAGGTCAAAACACCATGTCCCCACCAGGATGGCCCATCCAGGAGGCATCAGCAGAGGGGTGATGGAACAAAGAGGGCTTGAACCTCTGAACTTGGATTCAACCTTTCTAGACAAATGTGGTAAAAATTTCCCCTTTAATCAATCCCAACCTGAGCCACTCTCTGTCCTGTGAGAGGAAAGGAGCCTGCCTGACTCTTGGCTTCTTCCTTCCCTCAAGCATGGCCCAGGCTTGGCTAGAGGGGCTATTGGCAATTTCTGCTCTGGTCATTTACTCCTTTTTGCAGACTGATTCCACAGTACAGATGCTCAGGCACAGCTGTTTGCCATTTTTTACTGGTCAATCATGTGAACTGTCCCCTGGTAAGCTGCTTTTTCTTTTTTTTTTTTTTTTTTTTTTTTTTTTTTTTTGCTTTTTTTTTTTTTTTTTTTTTTTTTAGGTCTAACATCTTCTGGCAAAATCTCTGTTGGTTTTCTGATTTTTTAATTTTTTTTTTTAATTCTCCTAATTAGTCACAGTGCCTGAGAAAAGACATGGAATGCTCCAACAGAAAGATGTATGTGTCAGCTGTGGATTCCTCCCTGTCACCTTCGCAGGGAGGAGACATCTCAGCATCTGTGCTCCAAACCTGGGCTCCTCTGCTGTGTGCTCCCTCTGCTCTGTCCTGGGCCCCTCTTGGACCTTCCCCCAGCCTGGTGCCTGCCCTGGGCTCATCCTGCTGCTGCAGAGAGGCCCTGGAGCTCAGCCCCTCCTGGGTTCATCCTGTTCCTTCAGAGAGGCCCTGGAGCTCAGCCCCTCTTATGGACTCATCCTGCTCCTTCAGAGAGCCCTGGAGCTCAGCACCTCCTAATGGACTCATCCTGCTCCTTCAGAGAGGCCTGGAGCTCAGCCCCTCCTGAGTTCATCCTGCTGCTGCAGAGAGGCCCTGGAGCTCAGCCCTTCATGGGTTAATCCTGCTCCTTCAGAGAGCCCTGGAGCTCAGCACCTCCTGCTGCCCATGCCCAGCCCCAGAGCACTGTCAGAACATGAGAGCTGGGAGTGGGAGTTCTGCAGGCTTTGAGACCATTTGGGAACCATCATTTCCCAGGAAATGTGTTTCAAATGTGGTCCTTCTGCCAAAGAGCCTCCTCTGAGAGCGAGGCTGAGGCTCCCTGGGGCCCTGGGGGGATCCTGGTGCCTGCAGGGAGCTGTGCTGTGGGTTATGGACTGAGCCAATTAACCCTGCTCATTTAGGAGACAGTACAGTCCTGCAGGGGTTCCTGAGTTGTTCCTTTCCTCAGCTTTCCTTGCCAGCTTTTGGGATACATCCCCTAGAAATGGAGCTGCGGGAGCAGCACTGCCTCTCCCCTACACCCATCACCTTCCACTAAACACACCCCAAGCCCCATCCAGCCTGGCCTGGGACAGTTTCAGGGATGGAGCAGCCACAGCTCCTCTGGCTAATCCAGGCCAGAGCCTCTCCACCCTCAGAGGGAAGAATTTCCTCCTAACATCTTACTAAATCTCCTCTCTTTTAGTTTAAAAAGTTCCCTCTTGTCCTATCACTATTTGCCTGTGTAAATAAAGCTCATCCACTCAAAGAATTCTTCTTTCTCCTACAGTTTAGCTACAGAAAATCAGACTTACATCAGCTTGACAGAGAGTAGAAATTTAGCTGCTCTTCTCCACAATATATCTGCATAATGTAATATAGGCCTGAGATTTCTATAGAAGTTGATACAGTTTTATGTAAGCCTCTGATAGTAGCCACATGAAAAAAAGGAGAAATTTTTTGAAAGGCTTTTTTTGGTGTCCTCTTCTCTTGCACCCCTTAAGTGAAAATGAGCAGATAAAAACAAACAGATGATGTTTGCACAGCCTTGCTGAAGCTGAGTGGGTCTGGGCAGTGAAGATTATCTCCAGATCCCCAGTGCCCTAATGGCTTGCAGGGATGTTGGCCATGAAGCTGCTCCTGTGGCTGCACTGAGAGCGGCTGCTTCAAAGCAGGGCTGGGAACTGGTTCCTATTCCATATAAATTTGTTCCTCCCTCCACAGAGGGGCTCAGTGCAAGTGCAGAAGGGTTCATGACATGGTGAGGCTTCACTGAAATGGATGAAAGGAGGCTATGAACAAATTTCTGGATTCTGCTGGGGCACGTCTTCATGATTCCCCATCTCCTACTATTTAACAGGTTCCCAAACATTTACTCAGCTATAGGGTGTTAATCTCCTGTTGCCAGCTTTTCAATTGTGTGTAACTGCCATGTGGTTGTAAACTGCCTCTCTTAAGCAATGACAGCCTTGACCAAAAAGTGATTTAAAAATAATTTCTTCATTAAAAAATATTATGTCAGACAGATGATAAACAGGTGGTAAGCAGAGCTTACTAAGTCTTTGGTAAACTGAAGTTTGATTTACCAGTAACAAATCAAATTGTTCCAGCAATCCAGTGAAATCCTGTGACAATGTTTGGGTTGACCAGGACACCAAGATAAGGGTTAATGTATTAGTTTATTTTTTAAAGAGTAAATGGGATTGTCCTTTCCGTTCCATGAGACAGAGGGATTTAAGAGGGTTAATTATTTCATTTAAATGAGAGGAGACAAGAAGTCCTGGCTGTTACATCAGGCTTCCCATACCTGCCTCTGCTTCTCTTGGTTGCTTTTGATCCCCACAGCTCTCATTTATGAGGCTGAGACAAATTTGGGCAACCTTAGGTTGCTAAATATGGCACTACTGACACATGCACTGTAGTCATGTAGTCATAGGGGTAAAACCCATCCAGGGCTGTCCCAGACATTAATCCCACATCTTATAACTTGTCTGTAAAGCAGCTGGAAGTTTCTGTCCCTGTAACCATGCTGGGTCCCAGTGAGAGCACAGCCACCACAGCAGCTCCTCTGTGTGTCCTCCTCCGGACTGAGCCCTGCTGGGTGGTGCTGGCCCCTCTGTGTGCCCCCCTGGTTACAGATGAGCCTCTTTGTTCACTCTTGGGTAATTTTCCACTTTCCAGACCCTCCTCCATGCCATAAATCAAGTCAGTGTGGCTTCCAAGCTCAGCCCCTTGTTGGAGCAGGGGCTGTGCTGCTGCATCCTGCTCCCAGCCTCTGCTCAGGGCTGAAAGACTCCTCCAGCATGGGGGAACTGCATGTCTACATCAGGAACATGCCAATTGCCTTCTGCTAAAAACACAGCCAGAAATTGTGAGTTGTGTGTCACCCCAGTCCACTGATTTTCACACCAGTTTGTCTTTTCTTTTTAAGCAAGGAACATCAGACATCCCAAATGTGGCGGCTCCAAACTGCCAAGAAATCATAAAGTCACTCTCTGTTATGTGCAGTGCCTCATAGCAAAGAAGTTGATAATTATATCAACCATTTAGCCCTTACTCCTTTGTTTTTCCTGTTATTTTAGTTCTAATCTCCAGTCTAAAATCCCTGCCTGAGTTGCCTACTCCAACCTGGCTGGAAATTTCAGGAACTGCAGAAACCACCAAGCTGTCCCTCTGAATACAGGGCATGTTCCTGGAAGAGCAAAACAGGGAAACACTGTGGACACACAAAGGAAGAGAAATCCTGGGAAAAATTGCATCAGTGAGGAAATCTTCTGGTATCCATTAAAAGGTAATAATTCTAACCAAAGGAAGGGGGGTTTTCCTGATGTGAAATGAAATAAACATCCAGAAATGATTTGTGTGTGTGTTCAAATTTAAATTTAGAATTTTATTATGTTGTTCAAAGGCCCTTTTATTCTCAGGGTAGTTTGGCTACAATCTTCTCTTGAGAAAGAAAATCCCTGCACAGAACACAGCCTCACTTTGCTCAGCCCTCACCACGGAAAAACCACCACGCTGGGATTGTAGGATAAAGACCTTTCCCTTTTTTAATTACTGCTGTGGTTCTGGTAGAGACACAGCATCTCAGAGCTGAATTTGAGGATTTCTGTGCCAGGTTTGTCCTGAAAATAAATATGGATAGTCATGGGACAGGTGAGAGCTGAGGGAGATCCCTGCCATGGAGCTGGGGGATTTCCAGGTTGGAGGATGCTCAGCATCCACTTTCAGACCAGTTTTCCATTGGAATGATGCCTCAGCTCTCCTGACTGTCATTTTGAGCTGGTGCAAGCCATCAGAACGTGTTTAAGTCCCCAAACTGCATCACACCAGCCTGCCCTGCCCTGGCTCTGGGTGCTCAGGCTGTTGCTGCTCTTTGATGAGGTTTTCCCTGTCTAAACAATATTGTGGCAAATTCAGTGCCAAAAGGTTTTTTATTTAAGTTGAAATCCAAAATCTCCTGTGACCTATTCCTCTTAGGAGGTCAGGTTTCAGACAAAGCTATCTGTATGGCAGCACTTAGGTTGGATACAACTTTTTGAAATTGCTGCAGCATTTTTTGTGCAATTATATTCAAGAAATTATTACAAAGCAGTTATTTATGAAAGGCAAGCTGGCTCATTGTTGAGGCTTTTTATTTCACTCCTTGATTAAAAAAAGGGGCTTTTGTGCATCTTGAAATACTTTCCTGAGCAGAGAGGAGCTTATAGTGAAACATGTGTGCTCCAAAGTAGTAAGGCTGAGGTCCATGCAATTAAAAAAAAGACATTGTTTGTTAAAATGTTTGTGTTTGCTGAGCACAATGAAGACTTTGTGCTCTTATTAAAGTCACAAAAATTGCCATTAATTTTATCCTGGCCTCACTCCAAGAGTGAAAATCAACTCAGGACTGTGTCATTAACTCAGTGTGGCTTCTGAGTAGCTGCTGGGATCTCGGGTGCTTTTTCTTATTCCACATGAGTTTGAATATTCACATACATTCAACTGCCCCATCTTCCTGTCTGCAGTCCCATACACTGAACAACACTGTATTTTAATCATGAGCCTCCATCTTGCCAGTTATCTCCATTAATAATGCAGTTTCTTTTCTCTCCTTAGCTCTTCCATTGATTCCCTGTGGTGGCCAGGAAGAGTCTGAGTTACCTTTGCCTATAAACCCCTTTGGCATGTGGGCACCAGGGTCACTCATGTGGAATTCCTATGGAGATTCCAGCTGAGAGCACTGGCAGCATCACCCTGGTCCCAGGCCTCTGCAGGAAACCATCAGTGTTGTCTGAAATGCAATGTAACCTCAGAAATAAAAATCTGGCCCCACTGATCAGGATCCAGATGGATAAACTCAAGCTGGGAGCCCAGTTTGGACCCATGTCTGGTTTAAATGTGAAGTATTGTAAATCATTTTAGTGAAGTAAATGTGAAGTATTGTAAATCATTTTAACCATCCCTGGGTGCATTTAGGCTCACCCATGCGAGCAGTGTCGTTGGAGTCAATTACCAACAATGGCATTTCTTTATTCACTGCTCATTTCTGATACAGGGTGTAAATGACTCTTTCATTGCCTTTGACACCAAAATCCCTTAGCCACTACAGGGACATTTCACTAAGTGATAAATGCTGCTTGATTGGGGTGGCTTTTAATTTTCTAATCCCATTAAGAATGATAGATATGTCAAATATTTGTGCCTGCTGGACAGAACATATTATTCTGCTCTAAGGCTTCCAGTTTAATTTTTTTTGATCAATTGGGCAGAACCACTGCTGTAAGACAAACAGATGCTCTTCAGCTGTACTTTTCCATAAATGATTTTGTTCTGTGGTTTTTTTTGTTCCCCTACCAGGCATATCAAGTTCAAAAGAAAATGTTGCCTCTCACTAATGAGAAGATTAATCTCATTCACAAATGCAGCAGACTTTGTCAACTCTGTTGAAAGTTTGATGACCTTTAAGAGACAAAGTTTTAGTGTGCCCAAAATAAATAATTCATCCTTCACAGATTTGCCCTGTGTATCCATCTGCTTAAATCCGAAGCATGCTGATTAAAGCTTCTGAGTGCAATTATCTTCCTATTTCATTCAGATAAAAATCTCTATTTTCTCACTGCACTTCAAAGCACAACTGTTCATTTAAGGATATCACCAATCCAATGTACATGGGGTCCATTTTTGCTCTGACTTATGCTCTCCACAGCCTTCTTCAAAATCTCACAAAAAGGACTGGAGTTCTCTTTCCCATAGAATTTCCTTTTCCAGTGCTGAAAGCTGAAATGTGTAATTAATCCTCCTGTAAAATCTTTGAAATCATTATCTTCAAACACAACCAGAAAAGTAATTTCTGTTCTCATGTACAGGGAGAAGAATGTCATGTGGGCAAGTGGCAAGACGTGATTTACTTTGATTACCACAATTACTGGGCTCTTTCCACCTCTGAAGGCTGCAGGCAGCAAATTGCCAGGGGAACCCATTGCCCCTGTCTCTGCCCTGTGCAATGCCCACAGGGCTGATTTCTTTTCTGATTTCTTTCTGATTTTCTTTCTGTTGCCCTTTTGGCTTTCAGCCACACTTTTGCACATAATGCTGCGTGTAAGTAACATCAGCTGGGAGTGCAGCCAAAGGGGCTGCTCACAGGACACACTCAGGAACCACAGAATCACAGAAACAGAATTGAGTTTGGGACCCAAAAGGACCATCAGAGTCCAGCTCCTGACCCTGCACAGAACCCACCAGATGCCTGTTCCCTGCCCCAAAAACGAGCATAAAAACGAGCATCCCTCCAGCCATCGGCATCAGGGGGCAGGTTTGGAGCTCCCTGCAGTGCCCACATGCAGATAAATAAGCTGATTATAAAACAGCCAAGCAGATGGTCTCTTTTGTTGCTACCTGTGAGAATAAGCACAATCCTCCCATTTCCCTGGGAGGAAGGAACCGTCTCTGTGGACATCAAGCAGCTCTCGGTTTCTTGGGGATGCTCTCAGTTTCTTTGGGACACTCTCTGAAAGAAATGCTGAATGAATATTGCAGCCATTTCAGTGAATCCTTCCTGGGCCCAACTGAAATCAGACCAAACTGGCACCATGTCACCTTGTTATTAGAGAGAACAAATATTTCCTCTGGCAACAATTCTCCTTCAGCCTTGAAAAAATGTTAAATGTTGGGATTTTTTCATGCAGAAATTGAAATTGGTCATAAATGCTCTCTGGATTGAATGTTGCTTGTCCAAGATGAAACGAAATGAAACGAGTAAAAACGAAAGGGGAAATAACAAGGGATTGCTGTGGTTTTTAAGGTGATTTACGAAAGAAAGGAAATCCTAGAGATTAGGAAGTTGTTTAAATACCAGTGACAGTCAAATATGGAAGAATTCCAAAGTCAGAGATTAGGAAAAAAAAAAAAAAGATAGGAATTGCAAACAAAAAAGTCACAAGGAAGGGAAAGCATATTCAAAAAGAAAAGAGTATCCATGGAAAGAAAAACAAAAAGCCTCTTAAAACTAGAAACAAGGCACCTGCTTTTCTGGCAGCTACCAGCAACAAGGAAGACTCCACCTGCCAACCCAAATTCTTAACATCAGTAAATCACCACGCGGGTAAAATATACAGGATGTTGGAAATGAAACAATCAACACTAATTAGAGGATCAGATACCACTCCCACACACTCCCTGCTCCCAGCACTCAGCAAGAGCTCAGGGTTTGCTCCCTCTCAGTGGGATAACCCTCTTCCTATCCACATGTGAGCATTCCTTCACCTGGAGGTTGCAAGGTGAGGTTGGTGGATGCAGTTGTCCATGAGCCAGAATGATCCTCTGTGACCCTCCAGCCCAGGTGCCAGCTAAGGGACCAGTGAAACAGGGAAACTTGGGTGAGAAAAAGCATCTTGAGATGCTGAAGCCAGTCTCTTCTTGGCAATGAAAAGGAAATTTTAAATACTGGAGAAGGAGGAATCAAATCTGTTGAAAAAAGGAAGAGCAGCTTGGTTGAATGAAGATCACCCCCATGAGCATGCCACATATGCTCATACTCCAAAATATTCAACAGCTCAATCTAGAGTGTGTATGTAACAAAAAACCAGCAGCACATGAATGGAAATATGGGATAGGGAACATAAACCATAAAATACATCACTTAAATTGGAAGTTGAATTTAGAGCCTCTAGACCAACATAAAGCCTGTGATGTATGTGAAAATCAGTCTCATGTCTTTTGTTCAGTTTAATGGGAGTGTTATAGCTGGAATCCCTCACATTGCCCTGCATGTGTCAGGGTTGCCCTTGGTAGAAACTATTGATGGCCAGTGATTTTGATTTTATCTTGTGCTATTGTGACTTCACACTCTCATGAGCACTTCTGATCCATGGTATTTGCTTGGCAAAGCATGGACTGAGCTGTGGGCAATAATAACATGGAGGAAGTGCCCAGAGGCTGTGGCCCTGTCAGGATTTCAGAAGGACAGCAGGAGACCACTTGGTTTTGCAATATTTGAGTATCTGAATTGTTTGCCAGCACTGAGTTAATTTGTGAAAATCAAGGAATGATTTTCATCGAATCCAATTGAAATAAATTGGATTCAATTGATCCATGAATAAAAACCATTACCTAATGAAAATGAAACCATTACCTAATCACAGTTACATGCTAATGTTGATGCAAATTTGGTGGAGGAGGTGCCTAGTGAGAATCATAATTGAAAATCTCTGGTTAAGCTGTCCTTCATATAAATGTGTAAAAAATGAAGCGGATCTCAAAGGTAAGTTTAAGGAAATGGTATTTTTGGACATTTTCTCTGCCAGTCCATATTGGGTTGAACCATGCAGACAGCCAAGAATTTTTGCTTTTAGTGATCAGAAATGGTCCTGCTTTGGTGAACTTGTGGCTGGATGTTTTAATTGACTGGTCAGAAAGAAGGCTGGGAATGGTATCAAGGGCCCTCCATCTCTTTGATCAGTGATTAGAATCCCCTCAATGTGTCTCATTCATCCCTATCATCAAAGAGACCATATGAAAATTACAGCCCTGTTAATACATATTAAACAGTGTTTCTTTAACAGATGGGAAACCATAAACAGTTTCCTAAGATGCATAAACAAATTAAAGAGAACTTCCAGCTTTGACATCTTAATAAGCTGTGATGAATAATTTGGCATCACTACAACAACTCTGCCAAGATAAGGAGCCTTGGGATGAAATTGCTCTTTGAAAGAGTTATTCAGTAGCTTTCCTATCTGAGCACAGATTATCTGGTTTATGGAGGACAGGGGAAGGTCTTGCTAGGGAAGTTTATCTGACTTGGCTCTCGGGGCTTTATCCTGTCACCAAGATCTTTACCATGATACCTTTCATGTGAATCAGCTCTGCTACTCTATTTTTCATAAAAAAACAATGTCTGACTCATATCCCACAAAGAAGATTGCTGCAACAGAGGAAGGACTTAGTTTATTGTTGAAAGAAAAACTATTAGCCTCCCTTATTATGGTTAGGTTATTTTCTGTAATAACAATTTACCAAAGTCAATGTTGCTACCTGGGAAAAAAAACAAAAAAAGACAGTTGTAGTTGCCTACTGTTCGCCAGTAATTTATTAAAAACAGTGGCAAGAATAAATCCTTGAAAATAAAGCTTCACATATGTATTTATTTCAGTTGCAACTGAAATAAACAGTGATTCATGGCAAATGAAGTTGGAATTAATTAGAGAATCCCTGGTCTGGGACAGCCACCCTGTTTTCTCTGGATATGGAGTGGTTTTGGGAAGATGGTTATTGGTTATTGGCACACACAGAGGTGCAACAGACCCAAAATCCAGGTTTTTCCACTTTCTCCAGGGATGAGCACTGTGTTGTAACAGTGCAGGGCATTGTAACGTGGAGAAGCCCCAGGAATGTGGACGGGATGTTTTTCATAATGCAGTTTCCATCCTGCCACCTCGGTTATTAATGGCAATTTCCAGTGCAAACAGAGATATATCTAGACCAAGGCTTGGCTGCTCACATCTTGCATCTCAGCAAACTGAAAATGCTCCAAGGGCCCAGCCAGCCCAGTGGGGCTGCAGCTGAGGGGGACAGAAAGGCCATGAAGATGTCTGAGTGGGGACATGGGGCACTGGTGGACGTGGCAGTCGTGGGAGGAACAGCTGGACTTGGTGATCTTTGAGGTCTTTTCCAACCATAGTTTAGCACAGAGAGGTCACTGGTGACCGGAGCTCAAACCCTACCCATACACTGCTCCTCCAGGTAACATTAGGAAGATAAAGTCCCTTCTGGGAAAGGAGAAGCAGCAAACCTGAAATAGCTGTGCAGCTCAGCTTTCAGGTGCCATTTCCCTGTAATAATCCCTGAAGCTGCTGTCCTGGTAATAATCTAGCAATTAAAGGAAAATATTGGTATTTAATTAAACTTGTCAATCAACCAGGAAGGAGGTTTCCTTATCAAGAGGAGCTGGATGTGATTTTGCCACTTAGAAGTGAATGTTAAAGACTCTTGTAGAATAAAACTTTAATTAGGAAAGGAGATTTGGATTAACATGTAAGGCAGAGAGAGAACGAAAGGTCCTCAAAAATCATCTGAGTATGATTCACAGGAAGAGAGGAACCTAAATATGGGAACAGATTTTTTTTTTTTTTTTTTTTTAAGAAAAGAGCAGCTATATGGTGCTAAAACTCATGGGTAGAAGAGGCATAGGAGGGATTTTGATGAGGCTAGGATATCTCTATTCAATCCACTTTCCTGCTCTTAATATTTAGTCATTTCAGATATTCAAAGTGTGGTCAGAAAGTACATAGATACACTGTGAGGCATTGGAAAATCCTCAGGATTTGAATGCCTGACTCTCATAAATTTAGATATCAGAGGAAGAAATGTCTCTTTTGGAGATTTGAAAAAGGTCTAATTTTTTGTCACTTTCTGGTGGTGTTGGTGGCATGGAGGATGCTGCCCACCTGCACCTCATTCCTAAACCCACAGAACCCCAGTCCTGCCTGGCATTTCCACCCCAGGGTCTGCCCCAGGTGCTAGTGACTGCACCCTCATAATCCCAATGTGCTAAACTCAGTGCTCAGCTCTATGTTTTTCAGACTTGTTCCCAAGAAATATTGAATTTCATGGTATTGACTCCTGATCCTTGGATGGCTTCCTCATCCCTCCTCAGGTGTGTCTCCAAAGGCTGGTGCCTCAGGAACTCACTGTAAAATCACTTCCATATTAAATTTCTTTTGGGTACTTTTATTTTATTTTGGGTTTCATGGGAAACAGGAAAAAGTTGCAAATATACTGAAAGAAATCAGAATTCATGAAAGTCTGCTCTGCACATTGAGTCAGAGCAAGGCTGGGTGCAGGGAGCTGTTGCCTGGAGGACAGCAATGCTGCTTACTGTGTAAACTGGAAAACAGTTCTGCTGTCACTCCAAGATTCTTCCAACCAGGAGATGTTGAAATCCATGTTCTGAATTCCTGGGTATTGCTACAATGTGCCCAAAACACAGTTTTCCATGGAACAAACTGGCAAATATTATAAGGCAAGATGAAATCTCATAAGAATGTACTGAATGGCCAATGTCAATGGAAATGTCCTTCATACATTGCCAGAGATATTTTCAGGCAGAAAAAAACCCAAACCCCACATCCCAAACAAGTGACTTCCTGCCACTTGTATTTCTTCAAAGAATTACAAATTCTCTTTGAAAAAAATGCAGCAAACAGACCCAAAAGACATAATTAATCCCACATCAGCAGTCTGGGAGGGTGCTGCTGGAGCAGGCAGGGGTAGGTGCTCCACCAGCACACTGACCAGTGTGAAACTGGGCTGGAAGGTTTCTGCCCCATTAAGGGTCTGCTTTTAAACTTTCTTCTTGAAGTATTCTTCTGCTCAGTCATTGGTTTCTTCATTGAGTACATAGCCCCCCCAGAAATCATGTTTTTTTCTAATCAGCCTGCCTGGACATGTTTCTGGATATTTGTGTTCTATCACTTGTGCTTGGTATAAAATTTGACTGTCAAAAAACACAGGAAATACTCTCCTTTATAGCTGAGAAAAACATGTTTGTCACTTGTGTGATCTCACCTGAAAGAAAGGATTTTGCCCTGAAGAAATTTTGCTTAAAAGTCTGTGAAAATATTTTAATGATAATAGTGGAGACCTTATCCCAGGGCTGCCTCAGCCTTCACAGTAGGAGAAACAGGCTGCTCCTTGAATACCTCTGGACAGAGAGCTCTGGTTTGAGGGATAGAGGCTTTGGTTTTTTCTGATTTTAGCTGTGGTTCTCACAGTTTATCTCTGTGCTAAGAGTTATTCAATGCACCAAGATGCAGGAGGGCTCTGGGGCTGGATTTTTGAAGGTTCAGACAAATCCCTGTGGTTCATCAGCCAACAAAACATCGATGGAGAGAAGCTCTCCCCAGCCACAGGGAACAGCAGCTCCTCT